TAAAGCCTTTCAAAATTTTTTTTTGATTTTTTGTTTCTCATAAAAAGATAATACTAGGGGAGTGGAGGTGAATTACCTCCTTAAGACAGGGAATAGTCAAGGAGCTCCCTGTGCCTCGACAATTCCACGCCACCACCTTCATGTGAGCTTGGGAGGCCAATTTAGACTGGCCTCCATGACCTCAACTTCTGACCCATTTTCACTCGTCTGCTTCCGTTTACATTTCTTGGCCATGACCTTATCAATTTGCATGTGCTTCTCCTCTTCCTCTTCCAATGTTAATCTTCTTTTGGCAGCTGACATTGAACCCTGCTTGTTCATGTCAATCATTGATAAGGGATTCCTATCCATCCGCACTTGTTGACCTTTCCCGTCTCTCCTTGTTACCTTGATCTGCTTTCTTCCTTTGTTTTCCACTTCTATGTTTGCGGGTTGGTGGTTGGTCCTACCTTGGCTTACTGCTGAAAACTTTATGTCTGTGTTCTGGAAAGAGAGGTTTTGTTCTCCTACTTCCCCGACGGTTTCCTCTGTTATGTCCATGTGTTCCATCGAGTCCTGGTTCAACTCTTCTTTGTTTTGGAAGTTTTGTTGGTCCACACTGTTTATTGGGCCTGGGCTTATATTATCCTTGACTTCCCTCCTCCTCCTTGTGCATTCTTCTTGTTTTTTTATGTTTTCAGAAGTGGGTTTTACTGACCTGTTATCCTTCCCGCCCGTAATTGAAAATTGAATTTGTGTCTTTCGTTCCCTCTTTTTTCCTGACAATACAGTGTCATCTTCCCGCTCTTGCCTGTTTCCTTCCAATCTGCCCTTGTCAGGTCTGCTAGTGCTCAAACCCTTCGTCGGATTGATTATGTAGTCCCCTTCAAAAAGGAGTCTTTGGGCAACAGGGTTCATCATCTCTTTTGGTTCACTGGAAACATCCAACCGACTAACCGGCCGAATCTATGTTCTCTTTTTGGGGGACGCTTCTTTGATTTAGGCCCTCATCCATGCCCCAAATTGAGGTTTGGAGTATCCCCTGGTTGTCCTTGTTTTGAGGCTGCAAGATTTGTCACTGTGCGCGATTAATTCACATCCATAGCAGAAATCTGGACATTTTTCATACCGAAATTCCACCCAGATGCTCTGCCCATTTAGTTTCACCACGATTCCTCTTAACAAGGGAGTGAAGTATTAAACACTACTTTCAGTTTCATGTGTCTCCTTTCCTTGCTGCCTCCCGTTGGGATGATAATATCCTCCACATCTTCGAAGCTACTACCAATCTTCACTCCTATTTCCTTAGTTAGCCAATGGATTGGCAGATTCCATAGTTGCACCTAGATGTGCGCCAACTGGAATGCTTCCATCCCGCGGTCTATGCCTTCTACCCACGGCTTGACATTGAGAAGTTGGTTGTCAATCATGTATGGTCTTCCATTCAACACCTTCTCCATGTCCGACACATCCGCGAAGGTGAATTGAAAAAGATTTGCCCCTAGTTCAACCGCCACCATGTTCCTTAGGAAGCACCACACTTGGTTGGCAACGTTCTTCACTCCTGTGAAGTTAGCAATTCTTTCCCCCATTATTCTACCAAAGAGACTTTCCTGTACTCTTCCTTACCTAAATCCTCATCTACTCTGTCCAGGATAATTCCTGAACTTTTCTTGTTGGACAGATCAAATCTATCGAACACTTCCACGAGTTTGTCAGCCATGATTATGATGAGATGCTTCTATGGTATTCCAAAACTTTCACTAGATGAGTATGCAGTTGTACCGACCTGCACTAGGGAAATCAAATTTCAGATTTATCCTTATGCATCCTAGATCCAAAGCCCAGAGGATATCGAAGGTTAGAATATAATAAAAATCGACAAGTTTAATGAACAAGCCTAATGGGTGAAAGATTGAACTGGAGAAGATAAAATGTGACTAGCAAGTACTACTGAAGACTAAGTAGATAGAGCCGAGAAAGTTTATGTGTTTGATTCTGGAAAGATATCCTATCTCCTACCGCAGAGGAGGCCCAGCTCTCATACTAGAGAGAGACGCTCTCATTCTAGAGACGGAAAAAGTCTTACAATGGACTACTCTTGGTTAAGCAAATTGTTTTGGCAAAGTATTTGACTTGAATTCCATCATTCATCCATTTCCTCTGGGTGTAGAGAAGACATATGTCTTATTTGACCACAAGAAATGCTTATTGCTGGATTTTACGAATACGTTTTCTTCTACTGATGGCACTCACTGCTGAATAAAATGACAAGTAGTTTTGACTGCTAAATGTTAATTGGTCTTGCATTTGACTTCAGTATAATGATGACAAGGTACTATTTACTTCCTTTAATCCTACTTATAAGTCCACTGATACATACAATCTTTCATTAGAAAGAAACATATCATGTTGGTGTCTTTTGTTTCTTCCCAAACTAAATCAAAAAAATTACTTTTTTTAAAAAAAAAATTTTCCCTAATAAGGTAAGGGCACAATGTAAAAATCCAAAAAGGGGCAGGAGATTATAATTCACAATTTCTGGTTCTTGAGATCTCGAGTTTAACTATTGGATCAATACCTCCTCGACCTCGAAAAATTACTTACTACTTAACCAGAAGTTTGATTAGGTTTTTTTTTTAATATCTTGCACGATGTACAATTAAGTGAAAAGTGCCATCATTCTTAGTTCAGCATTGTGCTTGAGAGAAAACTCTGAAAATTATACGAATGAACAATAGACATCTACAAACAAGCTACACTCCTGGTCAAACTTTTACATATTTAGTACCTGTTTGGATGACTATTTTCTAAAATTTTGTAAAAAATTGTATTGTAGTAATTGTATATATACGAGATCAAAAGTGATTAGAAAATATATTTATGAAAAATATAAAAAAATTTTGAGAAAAATGACAATCTATTATATCGATTTTTTCGATCAATCTAGTTAAACCTAGTAAAAACCACCAAATCAATAATTGCCCAACTTAAGTAATTGACTTGGAGTGACCCAACCCAATTTTGAGATCATCTTGGGTTCGTTTAGATGGTGAATGTTTTTTTTTTTGAAATTTTTTTTTTTTGTAATGTCATATATATGATTTCTAATATTCTTTTTATCTTTCTAACTACTTGCTTATTTTAAAAATTTAATATCACAAAAAGTACTATAGTAATTATTCAAAAAATTTCTCTAGTAATCTTCTATCTAAACACACTCCTTATACCCAAACAAATCCGTACCTCGAATTTCACAATCTTCAATCTTAACCTCAAGCTGTCGAGCAAGCAACTATATCGAAATAGTTTAGTATTGCCCAAATTTTTAATCTTAGAAAAAAAAAGTATGCTCTAATTAACATTGGATCTGGACACTTATTGGACTGATGTAATTTACATGTTAAATTTTTTGAAAAGTAAAATTAATTTGAAAAGACATATAAATGCAAAGGAGAATGGTAATACTAATTATTAGTGTGTGCATTTTCAAGGTAAATTGAATGTGGCTTAAATATATCAATATGTACCCATTAATTAGAATAATAAGTATATGGTTATTACATGAAATTTTACACCATTATAAATTTATGAGAGTTTGTTTGGATAGAAGTTTATTTGGATGATTTATTTGAGATAATTACTGTAACACTTTTTGTGATGTGATATATGTGAGATAAAAAGGTGATTGGAAAGCTAAAAGGCGATTGAGATTTGTGAAGCAAATTATTTTTTTTCAAATCATTTCAATCTAAACACATATGTTTAAGAAAAGGGATAATTTTAGAGACCTTCCCTGAGATTTCTGACAATTCGCTGAGCTCCCCTAAGGTTTAAAAAGTTACACATACTTCCCTTGATTTGATAGTTTTAGTAACAAAATCTTAAAATAATTTTGACTTGGTTAAATTTTAAAATGAATACCCACAAATGCCCTTGTGTAATGAGTTTTAATTTACTCCCCTATAAAATTATAAGATTATCTAATGTAATTATAAGGAAAACGTGCCGAATTTTTCATATCCATACCTACTATTTGATAAATAACTATAATAATAATTTTATCACTATGAAAGGATATTTTTTATGATATTTTGTTATAGATTTAGATTAATAAGATAGAAAATAAAATATTGAAATAATTGATTCAGAGTTTGTGAATTTTTTGAATAGTAGGATTATCATAATTTAGTAGTGATTTTGGGCAATTTTTTTGATTTATTATTAATTTTAATACCAAAAAAATAGAAAACAAAGATTAGCAAAAAAAAATCGGATTACGTTTAAAGTTAACTCATAAAAAATCATTAGTTCATCATTTGGTTACAATAGAAATTAGAGATAATAATGGTAATTTGACAATTTTATCGGTAAAAAATTAAAATAAAAAGGAATAAGAAGGAAAAATAATGAAAAAATAATTTTAAATTAATTCTAACTGTAAACATACCAAACAAGGGATTTTATTAAAATATTTAAGGTTAGTATTGTCATTTTAAATAATACGGGAGATATGTGTAGCTTAGTGAAATTGTGAAACCTAAATTATCCCTAAAAAATTTTAAACAGTTCACCCCCCGTGACCCTGCCCGGTTAGAGATTAGTGTGGCTTGGACTGTGGTCTCTGAGGAGCTTTCTGTCAGCCCAGCAGATATGAAGACATTATTGGAACGGCACCGTTTAAGGAATTGGGGCAATTACTTGGTGGAACGGCACCGTTTAAGAGCTTAGGGCAATTACTTAGCCAAACGGCATCGTTTGGCTAATTGACCAGTTAGTTACGATTAGTTAGTTTCTGACAATAAATGGGACCCACAGCTTGTAACAGTTTTGGCTATCAGAATTGAATTTGTTTCTTTTCTCTCTCTAGTCTCTCTCTCTCTCTCTCGCTTCTACTCTCTCTCTCACTCTAATTCCTCCCAGTTTTTCCCCTTTTCCTCTCTGATTTACTACAATTTCCACCATTGATCCAAATCCGTGACAAATTGGTATCAGAGCTAGCGGAATCCTTGGACACAATCATGGCAGAAAGTACCAGATTTAAGACCTTGGAAGAACAAGTGAGGAAACAGGAGGCTAAGCTACAAGAAATCATGGAGAATCTTCAATCTTCACAATCGTCGCAGCAGCAGCTCAGAGGAGAGATTCGTCAAGAATTGGAAGAGAACAATAGGCGCATGGAAAGCTTGATGACTGGAATGGAGCAGAAGTTTGGCGCCTTCTTGGAACAAAAATTCAGCTCAATAATGCTGAATGTGACTGCTGCAAGGGACAAGCTGCCAGATGAAGAATCCAGGGGAAGAACAGAACAGGCACCGCCGTTGCTGCCGACTCCCCCTCCGCAATTCAGATTGTATCCGGACGCAGAAGTTACGCGAGCTTTCAGGCATGAAGGTAGAATTCAAGCACCAAATCCCCCAAAACTTGATTTACAACTATTCTCAGGAGAAAATCCGAGAGAGTGGCTGCGAAAATGTAACAAGTACTTCATTAATTACCAAATTCCGAATGAGCAGAAAATAGCCATTGTAGAGATGTATCTGGAGGGAAAGGCAGATAGGTGGTTCCAAGGGGTTCGGATTGAGAAACCTAGACTATCCTGGGAAGAATTTGGGGAGATTCTCTGTAAACGATTCAATGAGAATGGTTATAAGGACATAATTGAGGAATTCAACAAACTACAACAGGAAGGGAGTGTGGAAGAGTACCAGGAGAGGTTTGAGGAACTAAAGCCACTAATGCTGGCCAGGAACAGTAATTTGGATGAGAGCTACTTTACCTCCAGTTTCATCAGTGGCTTGAAAGAAGAAATTAAGCCTATGGTGAAGATGCTGAGACCGACGACACTATCAGAGGCCTTTGAGATCTCGCTGTGGCAGGAACGCAACATCAAAATCCAGATCAGAGGAGTTAGAGAAGGCCACAGAAATGTTGCAGAAAATAAGTTTGGCATGACCAAAGGCACTACTCCTGTAGCAGGCAGCACCAACACTTACCAGATACCATCAACTGGAAATTTCAGGAATACCAGATTTAAGAATGTACAAACTGACCGTCAGGATTCTAAGAGAATTTCACCTCAAGAAATTCAGCACAGAAGGAGCCTGGGACTGTGCTTTAAGTGTGGGGACAAGTATGGACCTGGACACCAATGTAAGCCAGGACACTTAAACCTTCTGATCAGCGAAGAAGAGGAGGAACCACTGTTCGAAGATGCACTGGGAGAACAAGACGACCAAACTGGACACCCTGGTCAAGTAATGGACATGTCCCTGCATGCATTGTCGGAGGCCTTAAAAAGAAAGACTATTACACTGACAGGGAAGCTGGATGGAGAGGAGGTGTTGATTTTAGTAGATACTGGTAGCTCTGATAGCTACATCAACAGTGAGTTAGTCATTGGCATGGATATTAAGTACCAAATGGTTTCAAATCCCTTTTCTGTGATCATGGGAAATGGCACCTGTGTTAACAGTAATGCAATCTGTCCAAGTGTAATGTGGGAAGTCAATCAGTACAAGTTTAGGTTTGATCTTAAAGTAATGGAGTTGGGAGGATGGGATATTATATTGGGAGTGGATTGGATGGTACACTTCAGTCCAATCACATTTGATTTTCATCAGCTAAGCATTTCTTTGTTCAGCCAAGGACAGACAGTACACTTACAAGGACAAGCAGAGAACTGTGACATGGACCTGATCAGAGGGAAGGATTTGAGATATTTCATTGAGTATAAGAAGCAGATGTGCGCAGCCATGGAATGGAAGCAAAATAAAGATGGAGACGACCATACCATACCCAGAGCAGTGGAAAATATCCTCAGTGAGTATGCTGATGTCTTCAAGACCCCTGATTCCTTACCTCCTAAAAGGAGCATTGACCATGAAATTACTCTGAAGCCAGGATCTCAACCAGTCAAGCTCAAACCATACCGTTACCCTCACTCTCAAAAGGGAGAAATAGAAAAACAGGTTACAGAAATGTTGGAGCATGGAATAGTTATACACAGCACCAGCCCCTTTGCATCTCCAGTGCTGCTAGTTAAAAAGAAAGAAGGCACTTGGAGGTTCTGTGTAGACTATAGGAAATTGAATGAAATGACTATTAAGGATAAATATCCAATACCAAATGTAGAAGAATTATTAGATGAACTGGCGGGGCTGTGTTCAAATCAAAGCTGGATCTAACAGCAGGATATCATCAGATTCGTGTCAAGACTCAGGATACTCACAAGACAGCATTTCAGACTCATTGTGGCCACTATGAGTTCTTGGTGATGCCTTTTGGCCTTACCAATGCGCCAGCCACCTTTCAATCTCTGATGAACCAGGTATTCCAACCATATTTGAGGAAATTCGTTTTGGTATTCTTTGATGATATATTGGTTTACAGTCCTACATTGGAGTCACATGTGCAGCATCTGAAAATAGTACTTGATACTCTGAGACAGAACCAACTATATGCAAAGAAATCTAAGTGCTCTTTTGCTCAGAAAACAGTAGACTATTTGGGGCATACTATTTCTGAAAAGGGTGTTAGTATGGATCAAACTAAGATTGATTGTATTTTGAAGTGGCCTATACCTCAGACTGTGAAGGAATTGAGGAGTTTTTTGGGTTTGACTGGGTACTATAGGAGGTTCATACAAGGTTACGGACAAATATGCAAGCCTTTGACTGAACTCTTGAGGAAGGATAGTTTCATATGGAATGCAGGTGCTCAGAATTCTTTTGAGAAATTAAAGGAATTAATGGTCACTGCACCAGTTCTTAAACTGCCAGAATTCAGTAGGCCTTTCATCATTGAGACTGATGCCAGTGGTGGAGGTTTAGGGGCTGTATTGATGCAGGATGGCCATCCTATTGCATTTCTGAGTAAGGCACTATCTCCCAGAAATCTTGGGTTATCTGTGTATGAAAAGGAACTCCTTGCTCTAGTAATGGCTGTCACTAAATGGAAGCATTATTTGGTAGGACATCACTTCATCATCAGGACAGATCACCAGTCTCTGAAGTACTTACTGGACCAGAAACTCAATACTGCTCTACAACACAAGTGGCTGACTAAGTTACTGGGATTGGACTACGAAATCCAATACAAAAAGGGTGCTGAAAATCTGGTTGCTGATGCACTCTCAAGGAGACAGGGGACGGATGCCTCCAGGGACAGCAATACCAGTTTCTGTTTGGCCCTATCTGCTGTTAAGCCAGGTTGGATGGAGGAACTGATTCAAAGTTATGAAGGTGACCCTCACTGCCAAGAGATTATGTCCCAGCTACTGCTAGACTCTACATCACAACCATCCTATACACTAGCAGAAGGAGTACTCAGATACCAAGGGAAACTGTATGTAGGGACAGGAAATGACATCAGAAGCAAACTGGTCTCAGCTCTACATAATTCTGCAATAGGGGGGCACTCAGGACAGAAGAGTTGCTGGCATAGGATTAAATCCATGTTTTACTGGCCTGAGCTCAAGAAGGATGTTATTGCCTATGTACAAGAGTGTGATGTGTGCCAAAGAAACAAGTCTGAACATCTCCCATATCCTGGCCTACTTCAGCCCATACCAATCCCTCAAAAGGCTTGGTCCCACATTGCTATGGACTTTATTGAGAAGCTTCCCAAGTCTCAGGGATATGACACTATACTGGTTGTAGTGGACAGGTTCACCAAATTTGGACATTTTTTGCTATTGACACATCCCTTCTCAGCTAGGCAGGTCGCACAAGTGTTCTTGGATAATGTTTTCAGATTGCATGGGTTGCCAGAATCAATCATCACTGACAGGGATAGAGTGTTCACTAGTTGCTTTTGGAAGGAATTGTTCAAGCTAATGGGAATTCAGCTCAAATACTCTTCTTCTTACCACCCCCAGACAGATGGCCAAAGTGAGAGGCTCAATCAATGTCTGGAATCCTATCTGAGAAAGAACTTGCCAAATAAAACAAATTGTCCATAAACACTCCAAGATGGAATTTTTCATAAACGATGAGATGTAGAAGGGGCTGATCAGTGATTACGGGAAAAGCTAAGAACCCATTGCAATTTCCATGTTTTTCCCCTTTTTTTTTGTGTTTAGAGTTGCCAATTTTGACGCAGAATCAACCGACGACCCTATACTGACAAAGCTACGGTCGTTGTTCAACAAAATCGCCATCATGTACAAGATCCTTTTCAACCCTGGAAAAACACGTTTCTTGATTCTTCAGTGTCCGCTTCTTCCTAAACATTTTGGCCTTTTCTACCGGTCTTACTAATTTAAGGATACCTATAAATAGCAGTCAATAAATTGCCCTTCGATCGGCTTGTGAAGATTGAAGTCCTAACTGTGCAGACAAGCAGAGACGATGATAAATACACATGATCTAACAATTTGATCACCTCCTACAGTCTCCATTTCTTTTGTGTTCAAGTCCTTTAAACTTTTGGTCTCTTTGGAAGGGGCAAATCTTTTGTCTTGTGACAGTAATTAACATGAAATAAAATCTTTGGTAATAGATAATGATTACAGGTTATAACAGGTTGTCAATTTTTATTAACGAGTTGATACAATATGGTGAGCCGTCAGTATAAAGTAGATGTAAGAAACATTAATTCATATATTAAAAATAACTCTCAATATAAATAAAAAAAAAAAAAACCATCACCACCACCGTCACCCATCACTTTCCGCTACCATCGCGACACCTACGTCCCTCCCTCCTCACTTCTCTCTCTCCCCCCATCTTTCCTCCCTCTCTCCTCCTTTCTTCCTCCTCTCTCACCTTCCTCTTCCTCCATTCCCTTTCCCCACTCCCCAATTCCCCCTCCTCTTCACTGACCGCAACCTTACTGGTCATGACCAAATTTGGTCGTGACAAAAAGATTGCTGCCAAAAGCTGTGAGTCATGGCTTTTGGTCGTGACCTTTTTGGTAGCGATCAAGAAGTCGCAGCCACCACCCGCGAGTGGGCAAGGAGTTTGGAGTTCAGGGAAAGAAAGGGAGTGGGGTGAAGGGAGAGGAAAGAGGGAGGAGGAGTAGGAGGGGGAGGAAAGAGAAAGGAGAGAGGGGAAAGGAGGAGCGAGGGGGTTGTGGTGGATGATGTAAAATCTTAAAAAAAATTTATAAATTATAAAAATATCTCAAAATATATTTTAAAAAATACCTCTAAAAACAATCCAAAAAATATATACAGTAAAAAATTTTCATATACACAATTATAGCAATATTTTTAAAAAATACCCGCAAAAACAGTTAATTCAAACAGAGCCAATATGTGATTAATCTGTATATGTCTTTCTCAGTTGATTTACAGTTGATCAAGCAATTTTGGACGTAAAATTCATACCACAAATAACTAAGTAAAGTACATGATGCCAAAATCCAGGGCCACTTCCTCCGGTACGGATACGTTAACAAGCTCATATACACAGAATACAGACACAGACGCAGACACCTGATTCAAATTTCTTGCACTAATGCACAGTTTTACAAAAAGAAAAGAGCCTTAGGCCATGATACAGCACTCGACATTTACAGTGTAGCAAAAATACACTGTGTGAAAGGAGGAGAAAAAAAAAAAAAAGGAAGGTGAAGGAATGTACAAAACTGAGCAGCGTACCCTCCGCGAGTCAATCGGGAACTCACTTTAGAAACTTATGCAGTTAGCACCTAATTCTATCTTCATTTTGCCTCCATTGGAACAATCCATGGAATGGCTATTTCCAGTATGGTTGCGAGTCCCAGGCTTCTGTAACTCAGCAGCAAAGGACATACAACACTCTTTTAACCGACCAAAGATCCTTTCATGCACCAGCTAATCAGGGCCGGCAATTTCATTTATAACCAATGTAGAAACAATCTCCACTTTGATAACAACGGTCTGATCTCTACTCAATGGTTATCTCCAGTATGGTAGTAAGTCTTGGCGTTCTGTACCTCCTGAGGAGTAAAGAAGAACATACAACACTTACTGATGAAAGAGCCATGCATGCACCAGCTAACCAGGGTGGCAACGTGATTCTTAACCAAGGAAAGAAAACCCCAGCAGCAACAGGTATAGCAACCACATTGTAAGCCATGGCGAAGACATAATTCAAACGAATGCGTGAGAATGTCTTTCTAGAGAGATCAATAGCTGTGATGACATCTTCTAAATTATTCCTCATCAACACGAAGTCAGCAGCCTCTATTGCAATATCAGTTCCTGCTCCAATGGCCATGCCAACATCAGCGGCTGCTAATGCAGGCGAATCATTTATTCCATCACCAACCATTGCTACTACACTTCCACCTTTCTGGAATGAATGGATAACATCAGCTTTTCCTGCGGGCATCACCTCTGCCCTTACATCCTGGATACCAACCTGCAATGCAACACGAGAAGCATTCCACCTTACTGTTGATACATAAAAGTGTGATTTGAGTAGTGAGCAAGAGGGTTGACAAGATTGGATCCCATGGACCAATAATTCATTCATGGGATGTTTTTATATATATTTTCTCCAATATTTGCTGCAAAAAAATGCCAATTTCCCCAAGGAAAAAAAAAAGCTTCAATAAATGGTCTACATGTAATACACTCTCAAGTTGATGCCAGCTTTAGTAATGCAAGTTTAGTCAAGATTTTTTATGCCATGAACTGATAAGACAATAATAGTCCCCATTTGGAGGAAAAAAGCAGAGGCCTTTAAGAAAAAAGAAAAAGCAGAAAATTAAGAACCGCATAACTGCAAATGGGGACTATTATTGTCTTGTAATTGCTACAAATGTCCCCGCATTAACCTGTGTAAGTACATTAGAGAGATTAAATAAAAGACAAACCTCCTTGGCAACAGCTCGAGCAGTTCTCCAATTATCACCAGTAACCATAACAGGACAGACGCCCATTTTCTTTAGGCCCTCAATGACTACAGTAGCTTCCCTCTTTAACGGATCCGCTATACCAATGACACCAACAAGAACATTATTATAGGCAACAAGGATGCCAGTTTTTGCACTTTCTTCCAACTCCACAACAAAATTTTCTGCATGATTAGGTATAACAACCCCACTCTCAGTCAACAGCTTCCGGTTACCAACCTATTCAGATTAAGCAAAATCTTCAGTGAGCAGATAAATAAAAGTCACAAAAATTAAATTTCATTTCCTCTTGACCAACTTCCTAACATCTCTTTCTTTAGATACACAAAATCCTCATCAATGA